TCGTCGGATGTCACAAATGTGTCAATAGCCTAGCCAAAAAGGAAAGTTACGCGTTCATATTGAAACACTCTGCCGCAGTGAGTGCCCCCTTCATCGAATCTATTCAACGATTTTTGTTTATCTGACAAGTTTTTCTTTGGCGGGACAAACATAAGCAAAGTTTTCCAAGAAGTTTCCGTAACTTTTCTCTGTTTACCGCCGAGTGACATGCTAATGTGGTCAGCCGACACTGATAGCCAGGCCCTGGCTTGGTCAACATCTATTTACCATTTGAATGGAGGGGCTGCAGTGTCCGCTGCATTGTCCCTGGTGTTGCCCAATATTGAATACATGAGTTTGGAAATTAGTGTCGCAAGTATATATGGCTGACATGTTTATTCCGACCCGAGACTTTAGCCAAGAAGGAAAATAAACACAAACTTGTATTCTGTGTGTTATTCAATTTATTCTGAGTAAAGCAGCATAAAAGAGTATTGATTAAATGAATGTCCTGAAATATATTGCTTTATGAATTTGTTATTTTATTTAAATTTTAAACGCTTAATTAACAATTTATAAAATATAATTTGAAATCTTAATTTCTAAAAACCAATACCACATTTAGAGCACTTAAAAATTACAAATGCTTTTTAAAAAACTATTACTTCTTTTAATTGTTTCCAAAAAAAGCACTAATGTTTAAAATAACTGATAAACACGCTTTTTACAATAAAAAAGGTCCTCATGTATTTTTTATTCTTGTGAAAAATATATTAACCTAATTTCTAAACATTAATTAAGACCAACATCATATATAAGAACCATAATATTCATACTATGTGAGTCTCTCTGCACATTTAAATTTTTCAAGTAAAAAATACAGCTCACATAACTCACGTCCCCGAAAATGTTCTGTTTTTTTTCTGATAAAATATGTTAGGAATTTGATTTCCTCCACATACATATTTACATTTATTTAAGTGTTCCATGTGGCTGCTGTGGGCCTCGTGTGGCATATTGATAAAGAATATAGGAGAAGGTCGGAAGGAACTCCGATATTAATGGAATTTCTAAATCAACGGATTTGCATTCCATTCCGCCGCAGCGAGGACGACAGCCCAGGAGCGCAATTCATTCATTCGGGATTAGCTGGAGCGGTCCCTCACTTTCCGGCGGTGTTTGCGCGAGTGTTCAACGAGCCTCATCATAAATCTTTGGGCATTTTTACTCTGCAAGGACCCAAAACCCGAAACTGTATTTTAACCAAAAGAAATTAGAAAAACTCCCGGCCAGGGACTGAGTTATTGCTTACCTGCTGCCAGGATCCTGTTTCCTGTGTCAGTGTCGGTGTCCTAGTCAAATTCATTCATAAATTTTCACACCGCTTTAAGTTGAGCTGTCAGTGCGAAGGTGCGAAAGAGAGGGATTTAAGCGGCACTCGGCCGGGCCATAAAAATGTCGCATTATTTTATGCCGGCACACGTGCGAGTTCTGCGAAGGACACTTCCGGCATTACAGGACCCCAGCCTCAAAGAGAAATTCGGGAACAGAAGACTTCGCCGGCCTAAGTGACTCGACTGCTTTGTGGCCAGCTCCTTTGTCCGGGGAATTTGCATTTGCATAGAATATGGACAAGGTCGCTCCTTAAAGTACTCTTACCTGCTAAATGGATTGTACAATCGAAACTGGAGCAATTAAACTCCGCTAATTGAGTCGGCCAAAGCGAAGGCTATTATTATGGCATAAGATCTATAGTATTTAAAAGGAAATCTGCTTTGCGCTGTTGTGATTTATATGATTTCGATGGAAGGCATACTGTTTTTATTACTCTCTAAGTGCTTTACAGGAAACACGGATGGTAAAATGGTAAAATCAAATTATAATAAAATCCTAAATTTTTGAGAAAACTCTAAGCATTTAATATATATTTATATTTTGGTAAGTTGTAAATGCCGCTTAAAATTTTAAAATATGTGTGCCTCTTAAAACATTTAAGAGATTTTCGCTATTGAAATTAAATGTTTAAAAATTTGTCTAACTTTCAGGCCTTGAAGGAAAAGCGATTTCCAAAAGCTATAGCACCAATAACTGATGGGATTTTATTGGCTAATGCATCTTTTAGATACTGAGAGATAGACAGACTTTGACACGTTTCAGGTCACTGCATTTCCAGCTGCAAAATATCACTCAAAAAATATTACACTCGGTCTGTCAATCATGCAGAGTTTTGATTGCCATGCAATATAGCAAATATTTTTGCGTATGCAACAAATTTGCGCACAATTCGCATTTCGCTTTTGATTGATAACGGCACGCAGACGGAAAAAAGATACATAGATACATGGCCGGCATGCAAATATTGCCACCCCCCCCCCCGCCCAAAGAAATCTGCAAAATTGAATCATTTCACAGTGACAGCAAAATATGAAATCAGAAATGGAATTACAAAAACTGGCAATACACCAGCCAGCCATCCAGCCAGCCAGCCAGCCATCCAGCCAGCCACCTGCAGTTGGAACGGAAACGCGGGCAAATTGAATTGTGTCACCCCCGGAGAAAATCACCCAGCCCAAGTCCCTTTCCCTTTCCCTCAACACCTTCGGGCATCGTCTGTCAGTGAGTTCTTGAGGTGAAAATGCAATTATTTATTAGCAGAAAAAAGCGAACCTAGCACACGCACACTGAAAAAGTGAAACGAGAATAATAAACAACAAATATGTTTTTTTCAGGAGAATGAAGATAAAAGTTTAGTGCTAAACTATATAACCAACTAACATATTATTTACCTTCACCTTTCTCTACTTACATTTTTAAATTACTAATTTTTTGGAAACGTTTGATTTTTATTGTGTTTTTTTATTTTACAGACACCAAGAAACACTCTTTTTTTAAATTTGTAGAAAATATTATGCTTAAATTACAAGATTAAACATAGTACTTTAATATGCTTAATACAAGTTGTTTTCTAAACTAGTTTGTTAAATGACAAGGTAAGCATTTTGATAAAACTCAAACTTTGTAAAATAATTTTCTTTCATAAAAGTCTTTTATTGTTTAGGTATTTAAAAACACTTTTAACTTTATAAGGGTTTTGCATTAACATTTTCAATTACCACAAGGACGTTTTTAAACTCATGTGCAGAAAGTAACTGTTGCGGAAATACATTTTGGCATTTGTTCTCTGTGCAGCCACCACCATCCATAACCATTCGTGGTGTGTGGAAAAGCGGAGCGAATCCAAATCCGAATCCGAATCCGAATCCGTCCGTGTACATGACGCCAATCAAAACATGACGCACGGCCCACAGAGGGCGCCACCGTGGGCCAATGCACGTAACGATTTGGTCGCTCTGCGGGAAGCCAACGGGGCGGATGGGTGATAGCTGACACGGGCACGTATGTAGAATTAGTTTACGAATTGCTGCAGGATACGTGGCCCAACATTTTACAGCAAACATTTCCCCTCGACCCTTCACACACACACAAAAAAAAAAAAGGGCGCCTGCACGAAACGAAGGACACGAGGTGGTTAGACAGAAGCACACCCAAATGGCACAGTGGGTAACTTGTCAAATAAAGAACCTATCGAAGTTATTTTGGAATTTTCGTATTCAAAGCCATCCGGAGTGGGCTGAACCCAAGGAGATGGCGATATGAATCTTGGTCAGGTTTGATTTCTCACATGCTTTTCGTTGGGGGAGTTCATATGGGGGAGTGTTTTTGACGTCCAATATTTATCAAGATTTGAATCGGATAAAATACTGACCATACAAAAAGGGGAGGGTTTTTTAAGGGATTTTTAAAGACCTACTTTTGTAAACATTTTGTTTACAAAATATACTGATGCTTCTTACATATATTTTGTAAAGTAATATTTAATTTAATTCTTATAGAATTTGTTCAAAAGTTAAACCTTAAAAAGTTTATATATTTAGAAACACTTAAACTCTTTATGGAATATAATTTCAAATTTTTCCATTGTGGCAAGACCGAAAAATAGACAAGAGTTCAAAAATGGGAAGACAGCCACATCATAGTTGCTTGGCAGTCGGGGGAATTGGCTTGGATTTTTGGCGGCAGGGCATGGGGCTTTAAAGAGGGGTTTTGGCCGGGAAATTAGGGGGGAGGTGAGCATTACGGCGGGGGGATTGAGGTGGGAAAAAACGAAGCGCCTCGAGAAGTGAGCAATTTGGAGCGCTTGTAACGCCGCGTCTGCCGACAAGCGTCGCAACCTGAGGCACACAAATTTTGGCAGCTCTATTAAGCGATGCCGCTCCGGATCCGTATCCGGAAAAAACCCCCCTTCGGCATCCAAAGACGGCGAAAACCCTTGCCCACCTTTAGCCCGAGAACTTTTTTTTTTGTTTGACTCTCTCACAGTTCGTTGATTTTCTGGTGGGGAAAGGGGTAGAGGAACTTTTCCAAGAAAACTTGGCCATGTGTATGTGTGTGTGGATTTTGAAATGAATATGCATGGCCATGAAGGGGGCGTGGCTGGTTAGGGGGCGGGAAAAAACTCTTAGCAAAAGTAAATTTAAAAGTTTTTATGCGCTACTGTCGGCGTGTCCGCCTTGGAGATATGTGTGGAGATATATATATATATGTATATATGTACATATATGAGTGGAGTGCGCACTTTTAGACAAGTTTTCTAGTTCTTTCCCGTTACAAAGTCCCCCTGAAACCTCTTTTTCGATGCCGTAAAATGTGCGATAATTCACATAAGCATTCTTATCATGTGTGTATGTGTCTGAGTGAGTGTGTTTGTGTGGGAGCGTGTGGGCGTGGAAAATGATTTGAGTGTGCGTGTATGTATGGGTGTTAAGTGCGTGTGTATGCGTACTTCCTGCGGAAAGAAATCACCTACCGAGCATTTAGGCAAGCGAAATTTTCCCGGCTCACGTTCCACTCCAAAGCCATTACACTGGCTCCTTGCAAAAATATTAGTATCCGCCGAATATGCTACCTTTCTCCGTTAATTCCTTGGTAAGGTAAAATAATATCGTTTATTAAGTATTATATATATTTTAAGCTGATATATATTTTATTGTATTTAATATGAAGCATTGCGTTTCAAAATAACAATGTTATCATTTAACAAATAATTCAAAAGCGAACTACAGAAATTAATTCTTAGGAATTCTTAGGTTGCAAAACCTAAATGGGCCCCTTGACACCTACAATCTTATAAAAACATTAAAAAAGGTCTCAAAACGAAAATAAATGTGTGATATTTTAGTGTTCATAGAAATAATTAAATTTCTCGAAACAGATTACATTTGCCCAATGCACCTATTTTCCTTTATTGCTTATGTAAGCCAAGATTTAAATTTTGTTTCTTAAAAAAAATGTTTACATAAAATGAAGTTTGTTATTTAAGCTGTTAAATGTTCTCTGGCATTCTTATACAAATTTTACATTGTAGCTAACAAATCGCTAGCATTTTTTTTCCAAAGTAAGGACATAGCATCCTGGTTTCTGGCACCTGGATTATTACTAACATTTTCGCACGTACGCATCTGAAAACCATTTAAATAACGCTCCATCATCTAACCAACCCACGGCTGTGTGGAAACTTTTACACGGCAGCGCTGTTGCTCCGGGCTGCTGCGCTTCATGGACTCCTAGACTCCTGGATGGGATGGGTTATCCAACATCCAACATCCACCACCCCAACCACCCAGCTTTTCCATCCCTTTTTTCCGACCTGACTGGCGTTGATAAATGCACGGAGCATAAAAGTTTGAACAAACTACTTGAGTTTTTAGGCAAATTTTCGCCTCGAACTAGAACGTAAAACGTAGCCAACTACTTTCCACTTTACCTGGCGTCGTGCCACGCCCCCCTTTGCGGCACCGCCCACCGCCCCACGTCACGCCCCTTTTACAAATCGCTGGGCCCATTAGAGGCTTGGCAAAAACGCCGCTAAATGCGACGTGAATTATTTAAGGCACGTGTGTTGTGCAGAATGCGGCAAATTCGACAGTAAAATGCATTTATTATTGAAGATATTGTCGGAGTCTGCGGAGGTTGGAGAGGGGAGGGAGCGAAGAAAGGGGGGGGAGGGGGCCAATTATGTGGGTGGCTTTTTGGGCGGACGGTTAGGGGCGGGCAACATTTTGATAAACGTTTTACAGTTTGAGAACTTTTCTTCTCTCTGGACTGGCACGTGATTGGAATTACGCGTGTTGCGCCCTTGGCCCTCAGCCAGAAATTTACACAAATCCACAAAATGCTGGATGGATGGGGGCGAAGCAGAAGCAGAAGCAGAGCTTTATTGGATGAGTCGGTTGTGCCAGTGTGTGTACACCGAGTGGAACATGTTTGGCAGTTTGGCAATCGACAAATGTTGCACACACTGTGAGAATTAGCATAATTTAGTTTTCGCGCTCGGAGCTTTCTTGAATCTCCAATCCGTCGCATCGCATCACGATTATCGAAATTGATTGAGTGCAAAGCACTTCGGGTGGAATAAATCTTTTTCCATTCAGATATTACAATCGGGTTCTTGTGGAAATTGATATTGGTGAAATATATAGGGACGGACCGTAATCCAACCAGAATGGTTTCAATTTCATTATCGAATTGAAGCCCCTTAATTCAATATCAATTCACTAAACAATTTCAACTCAAGAACATAGCGTTATTAACTTTTTCATTTCTAAAAGATTTGCCCTTTTTTTTTCTTACAAATTATAAAGTCTCCTATTTTTTCAACTCCACCTGAGAATAAACATTAAAGGAACGAACAATTCTTTAACAATTAAAAGGTGGTTTAAATCGTTAAGTAACAAATTGTTTCAAGCAAATATAATTTTTTCAAAATAATTAATCAAATAGTAAAATATTAATTAAACAAAAAAAGTCTAAGATCTGCAAAAAAAAAATTAAAGAAAAAGTAAACGTTTGAATTTCTGTAGAGCTAATTTCACTAGGGTAAATAATAATGATGTATAATTTTTTTTTATCTTTTTTCTCATGTTTACCTAGGGGGTGGCTGTTTCCAATTTCTCAGTCTTCAGTTGGCAGCTGGCTCGCCTGCGCCGTGGACGTGAAGGATCATCTCAAAGGGATCCCACTCGAGATCAGACTCGTGCTTGACCCGCCGGCGAATGGCCTGTGGATGGTGGGGGTGGGGATGGTGCATGGCCAGCGGCGGCTGGTGTCCTTCGTGGTGATGCTGCACCAATCCGATGGGCATGTCCTGGGCGTGCTCCACCAGCCCTGAAGGGGGCGGTGGTGGACGGTAGTGGTGCAAGTGCTGCGATGGGTGGTGTTGCGGCTGCTGGTGGTGCTGCTGCTCACTAACGATCTCCTGGATCTGTTCGCGAGTCTGTTCCCGCTCGTCCACCTTCTTTAGCAGGATCTCACGCATGAAGGACATTCGCTCAAAGTGCTCCCACGTGGAACGGAATCCTTGGTTGGAATACTGGGCGTGGCGCTCCTTCTGCAGCTCATCCACATACCGTTGCTTGATGATCGACCAGCGAGTCTGCATAAGAGCTGCACAGAAAACAAAATTTTGAGAAATTCGGGAGAAGCTTTTAAAAATTAGTTTGCACTCTAAAAATATATTATAGAAGTTTGTTTAATTAGAAAACTTTTAGATGTCTGTAATAAAGTAGCATTTAGGGACCATAAGTTTAAGACTTTAAATAAAGCTTTAAAATGTTCTTTGAATAATTGCATTACTTATTGACCATGGATATTTTATGGATGTATAACACTCCTGTGAAGCTACTTACTCGGGGTTAATCCCATCTCGATGGCCGCCTCCTTCCAAACGGCCGAGGTTCGACTCTGGCCCTGCCCCTTTTCACTACGCTGGCGTCCCGCCCAAAGCGAAGGACGCGTTTTGATGGCATCGATGATACGCCCGCGCATACTATTATGCAACGAACTAGGGCGTCCCAATTTCCGCGGAGGCGTGGCCACAGTCTCCAACGTCACTGCAGCCGGCGGTGGGACCAAACCCGTAAAAGCGGTATAGGTCATTCCGTGACCTTGTCCATGGGTCGGCTGAGCGATGAGATGTGGCAGTTGGGGGACGGTGGGTGTGGCAGCGCTTTGTAGCCAGCTAAAACTGCCGCTGGGACGTCCACGTCCATGGGATGCGCTGGGCAAAGGGGGTGGCGGTGCTGAAGCAGCGGGTTCCTCCCCAACGGGCGGTATCTCAGATGCAGTGGGCGGGTCATCGGGGGAGGCGCCACCTCCACCACCGCTCGACTGGGCACCCACGATCTTGGCCACCGTTATGTTGTACATGAAGGACATGGGCTCGAAGTGCTCCCACTTGGTGTTGAAGCGATCCTTGTGCAGGATCTGGCGGTGGACCAAATTGTGGTAGTGGTACTTCATCTGGCTCCAGATCGATTGAAGTTTAACTGATCAAATTAATTATAAACGTATATTACAATTTAAATGTTTTAAAAACCATAGAGAGCAAGTGTCATTAATTTATAAACGATAGCAAAACTTTAAATAAGGTAGAGTTCCTTTCTTATCCTTTAATAACAATTGAAAATAATTCTCAATATTCATCTAAATCACCATGGTGTTTTAATTTGATAGAAATATATATTTATATTGTGAATTCTTCTGTACTCTTCATGAATATTACAACATCTAATGGCGTGTTGCAGACAATCAAGACTATGTGTGTACAAGTATGTTTTGTGACCCACCCAATTGCATTTATCAAAGTATGTTGCACCAGTCAATTATTTTTATTGCGAAAGCTTCAATTTACATTATATAGTGGTGAAAACTCTTCTATTATTCCAAATGGAGGGAGACCTCCGATTCCTTTTCGACGTGCCCTCTGGCTATTTTTAGACCAAACACATTGACGTGAGAAGAGAAAAAATAAGTTTAATTATTGAGGAATAATCTAAAATCGGTAAACCTATTTTGTTTCAAAATAAATCGAACCCTCATTATTTATTTTATTGTAAACTATATTTTTTAGGTCAAAATTTGTTATTAATAAATAATTATTATTGTAAGAATATATATAAATCAACGGTGGGTTCTGAGCACTAGAATTTCTTGCCAAAGTCAAATGTTTTACACCCCAGTTCAAAAGCCAACTTAAAATTACATATGTATAAGCGAATGTACATATTTATCCCGATTGTTTACTTCGATTTTGAAAAGATAGAACAAAATTGAAGTGATTTAAATTTCTAAACCATGTTGAAAAGTCAACTAAACTTTTACATTAAGAGTTTTCGAAAATTGAATACCCCTTGAGAAGCCATGTCTCCGCCACTGGACGCGCACTAAAAGAGAACGCGAAAACAGAGTGCAAAAGCCAGCAACAAATCGGTACCGGTCGCGAGTGGGAGAATGGATCAGTGCCGCAGATTGTGAAGGGGGTTTTAATGGACTGTCATCCTTTTCGCACTCACCTGTCGGCACGTGACCGCCAAACTGCTCTGCGATCTCCGTCCACATGGGCGATGTGACACTGCGGCACATATGCAGCTTGTTGTTGGAGTCCCAGATCTCCGGGTATTTCTTGATCGCCTTCAAAAGCTGGGCACGATTTACAAACGGATCCTCCTTGGGCATGGTCACACTGGCACTAAACTGGCCACACTGGCACTGCACACCGGGATGATTATTCCAAAAGGCTACGAGAACGCCGGCGGAGCAAAACTGCGTCCTTTGACATCAATTATCGGCGAATAACTGAAAGTAGAGTTTGCAAAAATATGCGAATTGAAAATGAAAAGGCACAGCGATTGAGGAAAATAGAGAAAACGATGACGGCGACGACGACGCCAGCTTTTCGTTGTGTTTGTTGTTGCTGCCTCGATGCCGAAGAGATTGGAAAGGCAGCGAAAGCGTACACGAGATGAGATACACAAAATGCAGGCGAGAAGAGAGAACAGGGAGAATGTGCAAAAAAATAAAGAAAGAAGACAACAACAAAAAAGAGGCAGCAGCGACGTCAGTTTTACATACAAAAGTCTCCCGCTCGTGTAGGTGTATGAGTAATGTGAGTGTGTAAGATGGCAGGGCGAAAAAGCAAAACAGACAAAAGCAACCAGACCAAAGAGGAGACAGACAAAAAGCAACAAAACACCGCCGCAGCAGCGAAGCTCAGAGCTGCAAAAAACCGAAAAACAACAGAGAAGAAAAGCACGGAAAGAAGAAGAAGAAGGAGGAGAAAAAAGCAACGGGCAGCCAGCCCAAAAGAAAGGCAACGATAAACAAGCTACCTCTCTTTCGTTCGGGGACTGTCGCTCTCGCTCCAACTTGGAGCCAACGAAAAAGAGTTTGTTGGAGGGGGGAGAACGGGGGAGCATTAGAAGCAGCGAAAAGCGAAACAAAAGAGCAGCGAAGAGTGCAGAGCAAAATGCAGGTCCGCAAAACGGAGAGCAGAGAAATCCACGATGACCGAAGTCGAGTGGCAGTGAAGGTGTCCAAAGGAGGGTGAGTGGGGCAGGGGGCCAAAGAGAGTGGGAGAGGTAGGCAGGGACCCGGAGTCCGAAGCCCGGCTGTCTAAACCGGAGACCCAGCAAAACTACAACAACTACGACGACCAGGGCAAACAACAACTGCAGCACGAACACGTAACAAAGTGACGAAGTAACCGACCGACAGTGGGGCGATGGAGGAGGCACAGTGGGACCGACAGTAATGCACGTTCGGCAGTAATGTCACATCTGGCTAGGACTTGGAGATGAAGCTTGCTATAATTTTGCAAAGTAAACTTTTAGCGATAATCTAGGTTCGGGAACTCCAAACTATAAGAACCCCATGTAGGACCGACAAAGCACGAGAAGCCAAAAGTGTATGTATTTTTAACTATTTAAAATGGTATACAACTTTTTTTTAATATTTAAAACAACAAAAAGGGAACTAACTTAAAAATAGTGTTACGTTTTAAACGGATAATGAATTCCATTTATAAAATACATATTTCAGGCACGGATCCAGGTCCAGGTTCCAAATAAACAGAGATTGTAAACTCCTGAAAGTATGCTGTTAAAAATAGAACATCGTCATATGGTATTTTTTTATAATTTTGTATTTTTCGATTTTTTTTAATAGATTGAGTTGATTTTTGCAAAAAGCGGCTGCACTGATGGTTGGGTTGCTCGGTCGTTTGGTCGGTTCGTCGTTTGGCCGTTTTGGGTGCTGTGCGTGTGTTTGTGCGAGTGTACGTGCAATGAACCCGCAACTACAACTGCACACAATTGCATCACGCACACTCGCACGACCGCCCACACACGCACACACCAAAGGCACTGGTAGTGGTAGCGCTTCGTAGGCGCAGCGTTCATTTACTCAGTGCCCCAGACCCCGATGGCGAGCAGCGACCCACAGCACACCTCCCCCACCAACACCCTACCATCTCTCACTACCCCACCTACCACCTACCTCCCACCTCCCTGCCGCCACCCACTAGATATCTACATTCAGCGGGCGAGAACGAGACTGCAAAACAAACAAGATTCGGCATAAATCAGAGGTGGTCAACTATTTACATAGTGGGGTGTTTGCGTTCGGGAGCGGATTTGTATTACTTAAAATAAGCCAAAGAGCGGCCATTACAACGTTTCCAAATTTAACAAAAAAGATCGGGAGAAAGTTCGCATTTAGTGTTTACGATGCTTTTTTGGATCATTGCTTAAAAGTTGATTAAGAGTTACTGACCTTTCGCAAATTCAATTCATACAAATAATTTATATTTGGACAAATATGTATAAATTCATTAAATCAGATTTTATTGACCTATTACAACTTTAATATGTTTTTAAATATTTTACAAATTTTAGTTTAAAATAAGTCGTTTGCGTAACTAATTAAGTTGACTAAACTATTGAAGTTAAGTTCATTAAACTATTTAAATTCAAAAAACTTATATAGTTCATTATGTCTTAACTAAAACATATTTTAAGCTTACCTAATAGTGTACAAAGACTGAACAAATATTAAAGTTCTAAAATCAAAATATTTCGATAAAACTTAAACAAAAGAACAAAATGTTTATGGGGTAAACATTATTATTAATTTTAGTATCACATGTTTATGCACAACTCGTTTTAAGACACCAATTAGATGGCTCCGCTATCATAGCAGAAACCCCCCACAGAGCGATTAATTTGTAGTCATAAAAAAATGGATTGGCTCACATGGTAGTTATATCCGACGATAGCGACCATCAAACGACATCGAAGATGAAAGTCATTCAAGAATCGATTCGCTAAGTGCCAATTGCCCAGTATATGATGCGACTGTACGAAATGGTCGCTATTTGCTGGCATAATTTAGCAATGAAATTGGGGTCGGATTGGGGATGGGCTACTTATCCGTGCTCCCGCTTAATTATTCAACGACAATGGCAATTGTCAATGGCGACTCTATCAATCCGAGATGGCCACTCCACTGTGCCACATCCCCGTGCATTTGTAATGCGGCTGTTAATGTTTTTAATGCCCCCCGTTTTATTGGCTACTGTTGCGAGCTATCTCTGTGGCCCTGGATCCGTAAATATATCTGGGAGATGCCGTAACTATGAGCTTCCCCCACCGAGCCGCATAATGAACGCACACGCACTTTCTTATCGGCCAAAAAATAGGGAGAGGGACGGCGTCTTTAATTTTTATGGCAGCATAAATGGTCCACCGTAATTTGCTAGATTAGAATTAATTTGAGTCGCAGTTGGGCAGTCTGGGAAGAAGTTTGAGCAAGTACAGTGAAGCCAGCTTTTGGTTGGATAAAACGAGAGAAAAAAGTTTCAAAAATAAAAACATTGATTTACTGCAAATGGAATTTCAAAATTATTTCATTTTATACAAATGCAATTATTATTTTTTAGGTTGGCAACCCTAGCTAATATAATTCATACATATACGCATTGCTGTAAAAACTTAAATTTCTACAAAAATTTTATAGATCAGTAAAAATAATTAAGCTTTCTAAAATTGTATATCTTATTAAATCCGTTTCTGATTTATTGTAATAAATCTCAAGAATGACTTGCTTATCGTCGCTTTTATTTATAATCGGAATAGCTATTTCAACTTTTTTATATATAAAAATTTAAAGTCAAATTACTATTATTAGTTTCTTTATCAATTATTATTTGTTAATTTTTCCCTATATCTTTGGAAGTGGCACTATGTTCATAATTCTGTGTTCTGCCAATGCCTGTGGACAAACTTCGACAGTAAAAAATAATGTATCTGGGGATGGATTCGGCCCATGTCGGCCGCACATCAACTGCAGGCAGATAGAGGGGCTGCTGGTCCCAGGTTCCAGATTGAGGTCCAGAGCCAGAGCCAGACCCAGGCACAGGCAAAGGCACAGGCACAGGCTCCACATCAATTGTCGTTTTGCGGATCGGCAGGGACCATGGAGCTATCTGCTGTCTGTTGCCTTTGTTGGGTTTTTATTTTCATTTATGCTTTTTAAGTGCTTCATTAAAATCGCGTACGGCAACGGGGGCTGTGGGGCGAGGAGACCTTTGTCAGCGTCATCATCGTGGCACACACAGGCAACAACAAAAAGTATCTTTCGGATACATGTCCAAAAAGCAACGAAAGAAAGCAACATGGCACAAAGAAAAAAAAAACGCCAGCGACGACGGTGAAAATAAATAAAAAGAATTAAATCCAAACATGTTTTTACTCAGTCCGCTTGGTGGCTCTGGCTGTGCCTTAAAAAAATAACAAAAAATCAGTGGAAAAAATCAAACCAACATTAACTGAGAAAAACATTGTGGTTTTCAATCAATATTAAAAGCAAAATCTATTGTTGTTACAGAGTTTTCAGAGATTGAGAAATGTTTTATAGTTCGATTAACTTAAGATTCTTTATTTGGATTTATCAACTATAGAGCAGACCAAAATTTTAAACAAATTGTTATATTCTAATGAATGAATTTAAAGTAAAGTTTTGACGTTCCTTTTTAAATTTGTTTTTCAAAACTTCAAATAAAAATGTCCCTTATGTTATATATAAATTAAGAACATTTTTTTTTTTAATTACAAACTTTCAGTTGAATTCTAACCTATTTGTTGGGAGATAATTTTTAAAAAATGTATGATACTATATTTTTCTTTCGGTGCAGAGTTCGAGATCATGCTAAAACTCCAACTCGAATCGTAGCTCCAACTCCGGTTTCAAGCCTATGTCCCCTGCATCTGTATCTGTATCTCAGGGTGACAGTGTGTGTTTTATCTTCGACTGCGTGGCAATAAGTGTGCCCCGTTCCTGAGGCAGTGCAAAAAAATCAAAAACAAAAAACAAAAAAACAGAAAACAGCATTAACCATCTTGTTGTTGTTTTTTAAGGTGCGCATATAAAGAGGCCTTAACAGCCAGCCATCCGACCAGTCTTTGGTCCGTTTCCCCATCCTCGGTGAATCACAGTGGATTAGGTCGACGAAGTGCGCTGTCAAAAGTATACATGCAGCGGATTAGGCTTAAGTAATATGTGGGCGGTAGAATTATATCCCACTATAATACAATGAATGCAAGGAAAAGAAAAAAACATGGAAAAGACTTTTGTGTTCCGAGAAGATTGCAGAACAAAATATATATTTGATTTGGCTTTAATTCCGTAACTTTCATTGGAACTTACTACAGCTAATTAGAATATATTTAAGTTTTTTTTTTTAAATTTAGAAGAATTTGTTAGAAACAGTTTTAAAGTTATAATAAAATTAAGTTCGTTTGTATGTTTTTTACTATTTAGGGATTTTATACTAAAGCTCGTAAAAGAAAACTGCGAATAATTGTATTCCATGTGAAATTTTGTTTAGGGGTCGGCTCTTGGTGAATTATTTATGAGTGTAAAACCCTGAAACTCGCCCACAGTGCAATGGCACCGATTGCCAACGTCAGAGATAACAACAGCAACTCCAAACAGCGACAGCAGAAACAGCAGAGGATCGCATTTAAGGCGCAGCATCGCATACAAGAAGCGAATCCATCCGCACTGTGGGACACGGGTGAAGTGGAGTGGAGTGGAGTGAGTTCGCAACTCCTTTTCATCCTCATGCCATGTGCAAATCACATACAGTAGCAAAAAATTTCGACAGTTATTTACGATTAGCACAAAAGATACGAGACATGACATGCGCTGAACGGAGCTGGGGACTGCGGTTTGGAAATGGTTATGTGGTATGGGGTATAAGGCTCGGGGATCCGTGGATGGGGGACTCAAACTGGGGACAGATCGGACAGACCCGAACCTGGAACTCAGCTTCAGATACAGCTACAGCCCCGGCCTACGCTCCCCATCTGTGCCGGCTACTGTTCCAGCGGATTCGTGTTGACTCAGCGGGTGTCGTCGGGCCAAAGATCTCCGCTCTTCAGGTATACTCTACTTGTATTTATACATGCACTCTACAAGATACAATCTCAGCCAGAGTAATAGCAACTAAATTTGAGATCTGACAAATAGAACCCAAAAACCATCTTATTTTGGTCTTTTTTTTGTAACTAAGAATATGATTTATTTTGTTTTTAAATTGTGTGAATTTTAAAAACTTTTTAGCTAGGGTGAATAAAGATTTATTTTTCTTTTCCAATTAGTCTGATTTTGATAAATAAGAGACAGACATACAGGAATAAAGAAAAGTTCGAAATAACAATTATTTTTTCTTAGTCATAATAATCAAAATTATTGCAGTTCTTATAATTTTTTTTGAATTGTTCCATTTTATTTGTTTTCCTTTTCCCTGAAATAATTTTTAATCATGCATAGCTAAATTTAAAAAAAAACTCCTTTTTATTATTTAGAAATAATCCAGCTTAACCATTTCTAGAAACCCATTCGTATATGAAATGTTGTCATTTTTCAGGGGGCCGCATCTGTACTATTATTTTTACCCCAGCTGTGGATGCACACACACTCGCAGTTGGGAAAAAAGAACACACTTATGCATGCGGGACAATGGCGATGGGGCACATTTGTTAGCCGGCTTGGCCTGCCTTTCTCCACCGCCAAGAGCTGACCTATTAAATGGGTAAACTACTTTGTGTATCGCAACATGACGATCAGTCTCTTTTGTATCTATTCGCTGTTCTAAAATGGCCCATAAAACGTGAACTTCAATGGTACAACATTATGCGCTGCGATGCTGCGATCAGCAGTTATAGAGCTGAAAATTGCAGGGCCCTATCTATTAATGGATCGTAGTCGTGCATCTGAATTTGATCACTTCAGAAGGCGAGCAGTGATTTTTATTAGGTATTATTATAAAGGCCCCATTATTTTTTGTATAACAGTGATCAAAAGAAAGTTGTTAGAAATAGTAGTATTTCTTGTGGGCATACACAATATGATAATAAAGTCTGCTATAATAATATTTCCATAATATGACCTTTCCATTTAACAAAGATTCCCTTTTCAATTTTAAAAAAATAATTTTTTTTTGGGCAAAGAAGCAATACATTTTTATGGTTAGTTTCTACGATTTGTGTTTTATTTTGTGTTAAGTGTAGACAAACTTGTCAGTATTATTAAAGAATGTAAATTCAGATCTTTAATAATTTTTGTATACTGCTTAAAAAAATCGTAATAGCTATTTATTTATCACTTAGATCGGGTAGCTCTAATTGCGGGTGCCGGACGCTTTATGGGATTTAATTAGACGCCTCTCTAGCCGCAGTCATTAGAGCACTTGGCCTTTTCCGCCCAGAAGGTTCCGGAGTGCAGGCAAATTTATGGTCCTCCTCCGCCCTCCGCCCTCCGCCCTCCGGCTG